ATTTTCTTTTTCTTTTTTTAATTTCAACGTCACTCTCTCACTCTCCCATTCATAGTTCGCATTCACATATTTGCTTAACTCGAATATCATTTCTATCTAAAAAAAACTACTTTTTCTATAATATATATATCTTTCATACACTTTCTCTCTCTCTCTCTTTCTCTCGTACTCGCCCGACTGCAAAGAGACAAATGGCAAATATAACATACTGCAAAGAAAATTCCTCAAAACGAACTTGCAACTTGCTAAACAAAGATCACTAGTACGATCGTGTGTGTTCGTGAGTTCGAAAGAATTTGGAAGTATATGTGAGAGAAGTCAGTCGAATGCAATAAAGTTGTTTTGTTCAGCTACTCTACCAGGCAACTTTCATTCACTATTACAATCGTTTTGTTCTGTACTTACTTAGTTCGATGGTTCGGCAATATAGAACCCATCCGCGGTAAACAGCGCTATTACCGAAAAATCTCTTTCGCACCATCTCTCACCTCTCATTCTTTCTTTCTCTCGCTCTCTTTCTCTCTATCTCTTTTCTTTTTGTTCGCCGTAATCTAACAGCTTTCTCTTTCTCTCCATTTCTTTTCCGGCACCGAGCATTGCAGCGCCGAAAGATATTTCGTACACTTCTCTCTCACGTTCGCCGAACGTCCGACCTTCCTCTCTTTCTCCCCTCGTTTCTTTTTCTCCCGACTGACCACCGCGTAAGGAAGTACAAGACTCATCGAAAGTTGATTGGATTGACGGAATTATATTGTATAGGAGCAGAGCATAGGATCAATTATACTGGTCAAAATGGACCGATCCGTTTAAGACGATCATCTATATAATACATAGAAAATATTAAAGTTGCATTTCTCAATCTTTTTTTTCGATTGGTTTTTTTTTTTTTACGTCGAAGTTACAGACACGATTTCATCAAGATGCGTACATAAATCAATAGACGTGATACTGCAAATTCTAGAATCTAAGAGAGAGACACACTTCTTTAGCAAATATGCAAAAATTGCAATACTGCAAAAGGATATTGTTTAAGACGTGATTTTTATAAAACGTCGAACATCCTCTTTCCCAAATATATAAAATATGAGAAATATATTTATACATATATTATCGCAACTGTTAATAAAACACTTTAATAACACACTTCAACACAATTCAAATTCTGCTCCGCAATTCGGTGAACGAATCACGCGCGAAGGGATTTCCAGAATTGGAGATCTCCCCTTGGCTTTATTTTCCTCCGAGTGCGAGAGGCGAGTGCTTAAACCTCGCGATGAAGCTCACTTAATCCCACGACGTGGGCCGCATCCCGAGGGAGACGCGCGCGATTCCCTCCGCCGGAAGTCAAATGAAACCAAGCGAGAAAAGGTTTTGTCCGCCAAGACACCCGCCGGTCAACTGGTATATCTCGTCCGAAGGTATTGCATAAATCATTCAAAATGCTTGGCCGCCAGCTCGGAATAACGTCGAGAGCGGCCTCGTAAAGTGTCAGGCTTCGTTGTTCTTATTGGCCGTCTTTATGGATGTTCCGGTTGCAACGGTACAAACGCGGCACAAGAAACTATATATATAAAGATATATTACAATGTTCAAATATGTAGTATTAAAAATGAACGATAGTACTGCACGGGTTAAATGAGCTGAAATAAAAAGCAAACGATTAAATCATGGTGAAACAAGCACAAATGATGAACGCATAAAGAACTGGAATGGATGGAGAACGGACTGGTGATGACTGGATAATGATAAACAAAATAAAACAACACATATGATATTCCATCGGTGTACATGCATACCGTAAAATTTATTTGACGTTTAAATATCTTTTGTAATCTATTTGTTGAATTTCAATTAATTTTCATATGCTTAATCCATTTTGTTTCTTTCGCAAGTAAGACAAGCTGCTATGTCAAATTAGTATCCATAAACAAAATACTTGCGAAAATTTGTAAAGCGAAATACAGCAACTAACAATCGCAATGGTAATAAAAAATAGACTGCCAGTTTTACGCGATTGCCGAAATAATTCGCCTTTTGCGGTATGCCGTAAATGCAGAAATAAAAACTTAATGATGATGGCGAGAAATACAATACAAAATGATCAACCTGAAACATACAAATCAACATAGTTCGGGATGCAAAGCACATTGAACGCATCCTGGTGCAATGCCGTAGCTGAATATCGATGTACGTTTCAAAAATTCGACGGAATAAGACAATGAATATCCCGATAATAACGTATTCGAGATAATTGTAAATAATAATTTGCATAAATCCGCATTTCCCTAAAAATGGATATAAAAGGCTGTATACACTTAATCTAAAAAATCAGTCATTGCGTATTTAGATATATACAATATAAAAAAAATTGACGTAAAAATATCTGCTATAAAATATACTCGATACTATATAAATATGAGACAACGGGTTTAACAAAATGTACTACGTCATGCAGGCTTATAAGTAAACGTTTTACGATAGCGCACTAAAAATTCCAACACGATCCAATATTTCATTATTCCATAAAAAAGTGTGCTAAATTTATACTTTGATGTCTTGTATAAAATAGTTACATAAAAATGGCAAGTATTAAAGTATCCTTCAACATTGTGTCAATGTCAATTATTTCCTTCAAAATTCACTCTGCTCAAATTTCACCAAACTTATGTGTGTGCGTAATAAAAAAATCAAGTGAAAAACATACAGAGAAAATGACAGACATTTTTATAAGTTTCAATGATTTCTAACACACAAAATGGAAGACAATGTTTCATGCTTATTATTCGACGACACTCACAAATGTATATCGTATTTAATATATATGTATGAAAGGAGTAAGGACGGTTACTTCACTTTTGCGGACGGAATTTCGTTAGAAAATGTTCAGATTCATACGAACGTTACATTTTAACGAGAGGATGTTAAATCCGTTTACGATTTATGTGCGCAGCGATCGAATACAATTAGCTGAACCGAGTGTAATTCAATTGCGTGTTATTTCGGCTATGTATGTCGACTGTCTCAAAGACACGCGAACCGCGGTGAAATTTAGTAGAGGCAAGAGCCTTGAGTCTATTATTCTGATCGGAGTAACCTAATTAAAAACTTTCAGATTTGACGAGGTTGTGCTGATGTTTTAGGCCCTCGATCAAATCCATATGCGGCGGCTCGGTCACGTTAACCTTACGCTCGCGGAAATACTCCCGTCTCTGTTTGTGGCTATCCACGATCGAGGAAACAGTCGTCACCTCGATGTCTCTATCTCTGGTAGCCTCGATCCGATCGTCCTGATCGCTCACCTGGACAATACTATCTGGTATTGGCAGCGGCTTGGCCACGCCGATGCGAACAGTCCCCTTCGGGGCGCCTTTGAGGGCCTGCACGGCCTGGTCCAGTGTTGCGTTCTCTAATCCGATGTCATTCACAAACAGAAGCCGATCGCCGGGTATTAATTGCCCGTCGACCTGTGCCACTCCGCCAGGCACGAGCGATCGTATTACTATCACAGTTTCGTTGGGGTTCATTGGATCCTAAAAGCGTAGACGAGCGAGAAAAGAAAAATAGGTCGAACAGATTATTGCAGATTTTCATCGAGATCGCGAAGGACTACGCGCTACGGAAGAAGATGCTCGCACCTGATAATCCAAAATGGAGAACCCAAGGCCCCTCTCTCCTTTAACCAATTCGATAATTTGCGGTTCGGAACTCCACATCGCCAGACCGGTCAGCGGTTCCAACGAGCGCGACTTCATTTTATTCAGACTCGCGTCGGTCACCGTGGCCGTAGTCGTCGTCGAAGCCAAGGAACCGTCCGACTTTGCCTTCACAAGGCGATCCATTGTGGGCAACAAGTTTTGCAGAGACCCACCAAGGATGCTCTACGGGATAACACATATTTTCGCGATAGTTCTTAAAACGCGACGTCGCCGGCCACTTCGATATACTCACTCTAGTCTGGAAAGCCGCCTGATGTTGAGCGGTGTCGATGGGACAAAGTGGATCTTGCGAAGCGATGTTTCTTCCGCAAACCATGCGAACGTGTATAGGCAACTCCTTCAGCACGCTAACCACTTCCATGTGATTGATGCCCAATAAACGGTAGCCGTTTACCTTTAAAAGAATATGGTATCGATTTCAGGCACGTTGCTCGTTGGAAGTGGAGCTTTTATCGAGCACTTTTGAAAGAAGAGTACTATGAAGCTTTACTAAAAAGATATAGAAATTTGATAACCTCAAGTAGCTCATCGCCGGAGCGTAGCGTGCCATTCTGTCCGACGGGGCCCTCCGGTAAAATCGAACGTATATAGTGATGAGGCCTTACTTCCTGACCATTCTCCACGTCGACCGTTCCCTCTAAGCTAATCCCGAGACCGCTACCTTCGGCAAACTTCTTCAACTGAGCGACCTATTCAAACGAAAAAGAAACAAAACAGACTTCCTTATTCTGCGGGCTCTTATCATCTACGATGAGATTACGATACTTACCACTATCTCGGTGTCGGGTCCAACGATCTTTTGCCACTTCGCTTTGATCGCCGCGCGAATTTGAGGTGTGAGCTCGCTGGAAGGATCACTCAAAAGAGCTTCAACATTGGTCGCTTCGTCCTGCTCATCCGATATTCTTAAACGTTCTCCTTCTTGCAAAACCGCGCTATCTACAGTGGTATGGGATTCACCTTCTGGCTCTATTTCAGTGGTAGTTTCACCATCCTGGGAAAAAGAATATACGTATATAAGGATATATACATTCATATATAAATATAATTTCATATATAGATATAACTTTTTCTTATAATTGCGAAATTTTTAATATACGGCATTGGATGAAGACAAATATTAAGCAAATGTATAAAATAGCGTAGATTATATATATATATATATATATCGAGTATGCAATTAATGTAAAAGTATACTTCTTTATCTTCTTTTAGCGAGCTACGGCCAATCATTAATTAAACGTACTGCGCTCATAGGAAAACTAGGTAGGCTCGTTATCGACGGTGAACTCGGCTGAGGTAATCTCAATTCGCTCGCAGCGATCGCTTGTTGAAGCTGCTCGAACTTTGGTCCACGAAGGTATCGCTCCAAGCAAAGGGTCACAGTTTGCCCCGTACGTCTTAACACCTCAACGGCTTCGTGATTAGTGTAACCCTGCAGGGAGTGCCCGTCGACCTCGACTATTCGGTCGTTAATCTGGATCTTATTACTCAAGTCGGCCGCGCTACCCTCGCTAATGCTCTTAACGAAGATGCCAGAGAGCTCCTCTGTAAGAGAGAGAATCAAAAGTTTTCATCCGTATTCTCAAGAGTGTCATCCGACCGATTTGCATCAACAGCGGCGCATGCGACTCTTCTCGCGCATACTTCGAATATACATTCTTTACAGTTACTCTTGCACCCTTTCAAGGTGTCAAAAGCACTCGGCGGACATTTCCTACGTTAACGCTGTCGGGCTTCCATTACCTTTCTCGCAAACGTATCCAGCGATAGTGATTCCGAGGCCGTAAGCGTCCTTCGTGAGATCGACCTCGAAGCGCTCCATTTCTGGCAGTGAATTAATGTCGAGGGGCTCCATGGTGAGCACCGGGAGATCCTGGAGCTGCACCGGAAGTGGCACCGCCGGTATAACTGGCATCGCTCCAATTGGCATTGGGTTGCGTACCACGTCCATGATGAGACCGGGTCTTGCCTGGGAAGGCAGAGAAACATTTTTCTATGTTTCCGGTGACTTCGATGACGAGGATATGATGCGCGCGGAGCAAAGAACGGGGGATGAAAGAGAGCCGCGTCATCGAACGTGAACGTGAAAGAGAGTACGACTCGGCGGGACACTCACGTGCATTTCAATGTCGGACTCCTGCGAGTACATGTAACCGTTGTCGTAGCTGCTGTCGCCCCTCTGCACGTGTCGCATGTTGTAGCTCTCCGGCACGCTGTGCACCAGATGTCGGTCCAGCTCGTCCGGGTCCCCCAGGATTTTCGTAGGTACGATCGGGGCGTGACTTCCGAGGGCCTGGAAGTACACCCAGGAATGAGAAATTTTATGCGTCCCAACGCATAACCGGCGCCTCATCCCCCTCTCGCCCCTCCGTTCCGGGATTTATGGAGACGAGTGCGCGTTTCTATGCCGCGCGACGAGCGTGTTTTCCGGGATTTTGAATTTCCAACCGTGTGGAAATTTCAATCTATCCGAGTAAATAAAAATGTTAACCGCGCCCAGCTCTCCCGGCGCCTACCTTGTAGAATTTCTCGCGGAGATTACGGCGAATTGCGCATGGAATAACAATTACGCACTTCAAGCCCTGTAACGCGGTTTGCAGCACGGTGTAACGTTATATTTACTTTATTCTTATAGTTAAAAGTAAACTTCGAGGAGAATAAATAAAAAAAATTTACGTTTGCCGTTGAACTGAAAAGATATCATCATATTCAACGATTTTTACGGTCGATTAAATATTAAAGCGTTATACTCGGAGCGCGCGAGTAGCTCATTTTTTTTTTTTTTAATACTCTTTTCTTTATTTTATAGGTGTCAGAAATTATGTCACGTGAACACGGATTCCGGATCGCGCCATGGTAACAATCGTGACAAGCCTCGGGAGAATTTTACTGGGTCTCAACAAGTGATATTTACAAGTCGACAAGCAGCGGGGGACAATTTGTTACAACCCTTTCAAAAAAATATTCAACGAGAGAATTTCTGTCTCTGTAGCCGGTGGCAGAGCCAGGTCGCCTACTGTTTAATATTCGCGCGAGGAACGACGGCCGGAATTATACGCGAAGCCGGAATATAAATATCGATCAGACGCGATAAAAATTGAAAGCCTACGAGGGAGAACGAGGGGGGAAGTCCGTTTTTCCGGGACGTTACAGAAAAGTCGAGCACGTTCCACTTCTTCCCTTTTTTTTTTTTTATTTTTATTATATAATTTTTATTATATTATATTTTTATTAATCGACCTCGTCGGATAACGAAGATACTTTGTTTCCGCGAGCGTGCCCACATTCAATGTTGAATTATTGCAGAAACCGGACAACAACATCCGAAAGTTAATTTGTTAAAACTCACGAATTCATTTCGCTATTTCGTTTAACGCGCCCGTTATTTTACACCGGCCGTGTTTCCTCGGTCGAGCAACACATTTGTAACGAGAGGTAAAGCTCGACGCGCAAGCGTTATACCGTCGTCGGAATCTCAATTTTAATCTCGCGATAAAGTAAATTTCCATCTTGCGCGATTTCGAGCGTGTGTTCTCAATTTCTATTCCGGGTCCTCCCCTACAATGGAACTCCGCCACCTCGTGAAATGCCTCGTGCATTATTCATAATTCCCGAATTACAGTCGGTCCTCGCGGTCACCGCGGCTCGTATAATTACTTTCGAATCGCGATGTACTTTTCTTCGCGACCGACGCCCTTTTCTACTTTTCTTCGCTCGGAAACATCGACGCGGAATCGCGTGAGATTTTCGCGGACGTTGGGCCCGGCGGTATCGATCGCGTTGCAGCCGACAGATCAGCAATGTATCGGCGTAATGGCTCGCAGTTTAGCACAATTTCGTGCGTGAAATTCCGACCGAGAGGCCGGAGCTCGCGGCAGTCAATAAGGAAGTCTTGACAGTGACGTACGCGGGTTGTACGCCGTACCATTAATCTTCGAACCTGCCGGATGTATCCCGAGCCCTCCTATTGGAATCTAATGGCTCATCTTTAAACTACTTTAAATACTTATTTTTCAAACGTGAAACACATCTCGTTCTAATTTCGGCGAGACAAATGCAAAGTGGGATCGAGCTTCAAATCGTTATCCTTGCTTCTTCACCGAGCGGGATCACGCAAAAAATCACGAAAAAAATGCAGTTTGTTTTCTTAGTGTATTACAAATTGCCAACAATAATAAATACGCTAGTGGAGTCGGATAAATGCAAATGCTATTCGTTGAATTTTGCGCATACTAAATAAATTAACAAACCGTGAGACTTTATTTTCTTTAAAAAAAAAAAAATATTAACTAAAATACATACGATTAAAAGATATCAAATAAGGTAAATTCCTATTAATTTTAATTTAATTATTAGATTTATGTGTTCGTTAATTATGTCGAATTGTATTCGAGGAAAAAATTAAACAAGTAGCAAAGAGAGAGGTGAGGGAGTTCATTAAAGGTAATGTAATTGGCGGAAGCTACCCCCGCTACTTACTTGCCCTCCTGGGTGCTCGGGGCAAATAAATGGCAAAGTGGTATCGCGCGTAATTAGTCGCGTTCGCAAACGCGAAATTGCGGAAGTAAGAGTACCTGATAATCCGGGGAAGTCGGCTCCACAGGTCGTGCGACAACCAGCCGCACGTGGGTGCCCGATTGTCGTAAAACCGCGGCAACTTGTTCGCTTCCCATCCCACGGAGATTGACATCGCCGATCTGCAATATGTGGTCCCCCGCTCTGGAGTCGATTATCCTACGGGTACACAATGCGAGGAGGAGCGTTTAATTTCCGCGAGTTCTGTTGTCCGCAGAGCAGACGTCGGCGTGCCGGGTCTTTCTCACCACCGCGCTTCTCATTTCCTCGTCCGTTTCCAAACAGACGGTGCGTTTATTTGTCGTAAAAATCTATCGCGGTTTACTTCGTATCATATATACATAAACCAACGTGTCTACTCAAACTCGACAAAAAGTTCCCTGAGAATTCCCTGATTTTCAAGGCAATTTGTTAAAAATTCCAAATAAACTGAATCTTAAAAAAAATATATATATATATATTTACCGTGCAAAATTCTTAATATTTTTCATTCGGAAAACTTTATAAAATAAAATTAGAATTATTCAAATTTCAATAATTAAATTTGAAAAATTTTGAAAGTAACTATAAAGACTCTGAAAAATAAATATTTCCAATTAAAAAAGAAATTAAAATATTTTTAGAACTTAATTAAAATGTTTCAAATTAAATTTCATGTTGCATAAAATTTTCAAATTTTATTTTCAAAAACTAAAAACACAAAAAATTAAATGATACATAATCAAACAAGATTCAACTTTTATAAAACTGTTAAAATAAATTTACTTCATTAAACAAAATTGCATGTAACACAAAATCGTTATCTTCAATATTGAATATTGAATTATAATTATAAAATCAGTGTGCCTCGATGTCTGAGTAGTTGGGTTAACAATTCAGTTTGTAAACTCTCAATTATAATATAAAATAAAATATTAGAAAATCAATTTAAAAAAAAAAATTCCATGATTTTCAATAAAATTCCCTGAAAATTTCAGGTTTTTCAGGTTTTTTTCAGATTACATCCTGAGATAAAGCTCTATGTTCAAGGAAGAGAAAAAATACGAGTGTGGAAAGGCGCACGCGACGCGACTGTGATGATTAAGTGAGTAACTTATAAAAGCTAAGCCAATGATTAACGAGAAGATTTCTTGTTAAAAGTTAGGCCCATAATAAAGGTAATATATAGAATTGCCAAAAAGCGGATAAAATTCATATTGTTAATAGCGCACGTGCAGAAAATTTATAATCGTGATAATTGTTATGATTAAATATCGCCAAAAATATTTAACATTTAATATTTATTTTTGACGTCGATAGAAGAGTTTAGACTTCTAAGGAGAAAGAATATTTATTTGCTTACGCGATCGGCAACGCCTCCTGGAAGAATGGTTTTGACGACGACGCCGGTGCTACGTCCGCCGATGATGCCGAATCCAAGACCGCTGCCATCGTTGATGAGATTTATCACTTCAACTTGAGCCCATTCCGTATTCAACTGCGAATAAAAGGATCGCAAAAGCATCTTAAAAGTCCCGTTTTTCGTTACAAAGCTTTAACAATATTATCGATCGCCTCATCCTCGAACGTTCGGGTGACATAATGCAATCCAAACTGTCGGAAGACATGTTTTCGCAGAATTTATAATCAAACGAATAACGAATCCAGTTGGAAAGAAGAAAAGTAAGAAAACGAAAAAAAAGGAACTGTTCTCTCTCCTCCCTTCTAATTCTTCTAATTTCGATCGGTTAATTCAATCGGTCTGAAAATATAATCGGTTCTTACGGAATCAAACTTGATTCGATAAGAATTTAATTACATTCCGTAGGTAGGATTTCATCCCCATTAAGACATTACTTTTTAATAGTGATACGAAATGCAAATAAATTCTGTAATAACGTAAATTTGCGAAAACTTTGGAACATTCCCGAATTACACTTTTCGTACTTCCTACGTATTTCCTAATTCCAATGACGCTAACAACCGTAACTTATACCGCATAAAGAAAGAGTTAATGAGAATGAAGTACGATGGCGGGAAAGAAGAGTAATGACGGCGCACAGCATCTGCTCCAACGTGGCATACTTTAACGAATCTAACGAAATGAACAAGATTACGAGGGATTTCAGGTAACGATGAGACATTCGGTTTGACATGTTGATATCTCGCAATCAAAAAGGCTAATTCAGCTAAAATAGCTTTTTCTTCATCTATAAAATTCGACTTTTCAAGATATCATGATTTTAATTTATTATTATTTCACGTTGAAACTGATATTAGTCTTAGCAATGCTAGTAAAATTAATAATTAAAATAAAAATAGATACACAGTACACAATTATCACAAATGAGCAATTTATATCTCTGCATGACCACTATATATTAGAAATCATAAAACCACTATAAACTACGATGTTTCTTTAATCCTTCGATCGATAAAACTTACAATTTATCCGAAATCAATAGAACAGCAATCAGAATGTACTAATCTCCACTCGCAATATTAGTTAGATCATTAAATTTGATTGGTTCTCTAGAATTCTCGTCCATGTGGCCACAATTAATAAGCTATTTAATATTAACGTTCCGATTTCCGATAGCTCTTACAGGACGCTTACAATGGCCGGTAATTTCCGGCGAATCGCGACCAAGATTCCCGATCAATTTTTCATCGTTTACCTCCTCGGGTATCCCGATATCGCGGTATTGTCGAAAAATTAATGAAATTTAATCGCGCCAGGATCTGCCTCCCTTCATAAAGCACTCCAGTAGCGCGATATCGCGGGGAGGGAGAGGGGGGGGACGTTTATTGTGCGGCATAATCCCTTCATTTCCGGACGTTTTGAAATATGCGGAGGAGACGAGGAGAGACGAAGGAGTTGCAAGCGAGAAATAGCTGTTGCCTGCTATCGGGAGGGAAAGTTTTGAAATTTGCCAGCTCGAGTGCGTCCCGCCGCGTTCCAATTTACGCGCGTCAGACAATCGGCCGAGGTTAATTAAAGCTTTTTTTCCTTACCCGTCTAACGCGGCGGCCGTTCCGCGGATCAACAGAGACGCGAGCGTATCGGTTTCGTTAAAACGCGAATCCGATGAATTTTTTATGATTCGATAATTGCCCCGTGCAAACAAGGGCCGTCGCGGAACGGTGAACAAGAACTGGAACGCGGACCGAAAATAACCACCGGTGTTCCTGTCGGACTACCCGACTTCCGGTTCTCCCGCGGACCGGAACGAGAGCCGCGTCGAGAAACAGGGAGAGACAGAGCCGAGGGTGATTTACATTGCGGGTGTCATGCACGCGCGCGCGCGTGCGTGTGTGTGAATATGTGTCTGTGTGTGTGTGTGAATGCTCACACCGACGACCAGGGATTAAACACGCGGCCGGACGAGCGCGTTTATCGAATTGCGAAGATAGAAATTCGTTCAGAAGAGACGCGCATTATTCCGGACTCGAGTCACGTCAACGTCGTTAAAGACCGCCGGCAGGATGTTCTTCGAGGCGAACTTCGTATATCCGATAATCGTTCCTCGTAGCCCGAAATTAGTTTTGGGATAAGTAGTAAAGCCCGTCGGAAGTTCCGTTTCTGACGTAGCGACGTTGAGAGTACTTTTCCTTGTCACAAAAGCTGCAGGGGAACCCGATAATCAATCGCGGTTATCAGGCCGAATGTACTACATCGTCGGTCTTTCTTATTCTTCTAAGAGATACAATTTCAATTCGACAACGACGCTTTCTTGTAATCTATTTAGATAAATAGTTAATAATTTTTAAGTGCGAAGAGTCAATCATACGTGTTCTCTCCTATCGTAAGCATCAAGATATCTTTTTAGAATGACAAAGATATTTTGGAAGACACGATTTTACTTCACAATTTTGTACATTACATTTTAATGTATTTAAATAAATAAATTAACAATTTTAAAGTATGACCACCATTGACACCTTTAAAATGTAAAGAGTCGTATACGTTTCCTTTTATTAAGCATTAGATATATTCTTAAAATATGGCGAAGATATTTTGCAAGATTTGCAGCTTTAACATTTGCAACTTAAATTACATATGATATTAATAATTTTCTTAACTAGAAATCACTATTAATAATGTACGAGACAACTTCGTTATTGTGACTGATAAAACGATTGATAAAACATTGGAGCTATTAACAATCGGTCTAATATCTACCAGGAATCGGAAAAAATATACCGCGAGCATCGGTAACGCGCAATAATGTAATCGGCAATAAAGTTTTACGATCGCTCGCCTTACCGCCGACTCTCATTGACAACGCCAATGAGAGGAAGTTTTCTCGTCTATAATCCTATTCTTACTTCAATGTCGCGGGAAAGCCACTGACCTCCCACCAATCGGATACGACACTTGCTTAATGGCACAAGGAAAATAAATGTTGAGACAGATGCGCGCGATCGAAATGCCTTCAAGACTTTCCGATGTGAAATCGTCTTTGATATCAAACAAAATCTTCGGTAATAATGTAAAATATTAAAATACTCGATGGCAAATTTAAATTTTAACCGCGAGTCTTTAACGTTCTTTTACGAGCTAAATAAATATTAGAAATTTCGCTTTCATAAATTTTTTAGTAATTGTCGCGATTTTCTTCCGCGAACCGGAAAAGTATCAAATGACGATTAATACCGGGTCATACTTCGATTTCAACTACTGAAACTCCGGTTTGTACTAAATTCCAATTAAATTCTCGTTATTTCTTTTTATGTATACGAGCTCTCTCTTTCTCTCTCGCTCTCGCTCTCACGCCGCCGACGTACCGTGTGTAAACTTTGAGCAACGGCGAAAAAGCCGTTAATTCGTAAAAACCGTTTTTCCATTTTCGTCGGATAAAATTGATTGCGCGGCAACATTGAAAGCGCACAGGAAGCACACACAAGGATCTAATACGGAACGGGGGAAGTGTCAATTTGTTACGATTAAATGTTCCATCGAAATGGCATCGCCGCGGGGATAAACGGTTCTACAGTTTCTCGCCGGTAATGGACGATAAATTTTAAAGATCACGCAAACCTTGCCTGCAGAGAACCGGTATTGCCCGGAGGGCGTCAGCGAAACTCTTTACCGATAATTCTATTTCCGTCGCAGCCGCCGCTTGTTCCTATTATCGCGCCCGAAGCCCGAAGGGAGATAGGAGGAAGACGGCGGATGCCCAATTTATCTACGATTGGAAAAAAAAAAAAAAACCGCCTCGATCTAGGTATATCGAATGCCGAGGAAGAATCAAGAAAAATAGCCACCGACATTCGGCGACCGATCGAAAACTCCCTCGGAAATCGATAACTTCTACGAAACTACCAAACTACTAAATTAATTATTTAAAATTGCTTTTCGGGATATATTTAATAAATAATAAATTTAAGTACGCTCGACTAACATATTATATGTTAATTCAATATGTTTATTCTTTATAATTAATGAATGTAATTAATAACGTACACTAATAACATGTTTTTGATCGTTTGGCAACAATAATATTTATAAATAAATAATATTTCAATAAAATTATTAAATTAAATATTCTGTCTGTAGAGGCATTCATTGTTTCTAATTAAATTTCTAAAAGCAAATTTCTAAATATTATTCGAGCAAGTGAGAAACTGCGAGTAGGAAGATCCCAGATATTAATTCTCTTAAGTACTCAAAATTAATAATAATATTTCGTAGAAAAATACTGCTCAGTGTCCGCGACATCCGACGTCGCAGATACAAGATAAATATTATTGCCTCGAGATGCTGGCGAAGCTGTACCAATAATTCTATTTCCATCATAGCCGGTGTTCCTATTATCGCGGCGAAAGGCAAAAAGAAGATAAAAAAGAAGGGGGCGCGCCCATGGAAGGGTGTCCAAATGAGGCCAATTATGCCGGGGCTATCGCTCGGGATTTTATCGGTGTGACACCACTCGAGTAGTTTCAACGCAAATATTTCTTTCGGGATGAAGCACCCTCGAGAACGAGGGAGATGCGGGGGGGGCTCGTCATATAAGGCGATCTCGAGCCTGAAAGCCCGAGCTATGAGCTACACGATAAAATAAGAAGGCTGTTGAGGGAGAAGCGTGCTTATTAAGAGCCAATGAAGAACATCCTTTTACGTGAAGAAATATTCAGCACAATAGAGGGAAGATCCAAGAAGCTTTCACTCGAGCAAAGGGGAGAGAACAAAAGGGCACAACTGCTGAAACGCGAAGATACAGAAAATGATCACGAGAAAGGATATCAATATAATTATTCACGGTTGATTATAAACGAGAAATTACTGGACGAGACTTTTCTTCTTTTTTTTTTCTTAACATCCCTTAGATTCTTGAGTAATTGAGATGTCGAAAAAAATCTCTCTGGTTAAATTTTTAATAAATGTCACAAATGCACAATTGTTCTATGATTCGACTATGAATCTTGACACGAGTCGTCAAGTTCCAGATAATCGGTAATGATGGCATTATAAATAACGTCATAGAAAACTTTTCCTTTATTAAAAAATAAAAAAAAAGAAAAAAAAGAAAAAAAAGTTCAAGGAGTGGAGAGAAGGCAAGCTAGAGGATGAGGAAAAAGAACGGCGACTCACCACCATGTCAGAGCCACTCTTGGAGGCGTCGCTGACGGCGGAGGGGCTCCTTTCGATAACGAGGCCTCTAGGTATCGGTGTCGAGGTCGGCGTGGGTATTGGCGTATGCGTGGGAGTCGGGGTCGCCGCCGAAGTGGTGCTGGCCGGTTGGCTTGACTTCGGAGTCGGTCCCGGTGTAACGACGGTGGACGACGCTGACACCGATTGATCCTTGTCGGAGCTTGTCTGGTTGTTCCCAGTACCGGCAACGCCGCCGTCGTCGATGATGGACGACGCTGCTCCTGCGGCCGCTGTCGAACTCGAACCACCGGACAATTCATCCGTTGGCAAAGAGCCCCCAACGTCTGTCAACAACAAGCACACACGATTCCGCACGTTATTTAGTCCTTTCGCACTGTGACGTTTCACATCGACTCCGATGAGAAACGATGTAACTGCCAAACTGCGGCTTCTCAGAAAAGTTACTCAAGGCAAAATTCTTCCCGCCAACTATTAAATATTCATAAACCGACAAAAATGTTTTAGCACTGAAAATATGTAAGAAAGATATTTACAGTCACGTCTTAGATTAGTGTATAATAATTCTTTTTTACTTCTACATATAAGATTCCAAGTAGGCTTACTGTCAATCAATTATGTGCCGTTATTAATGGACTTGCGACATAGCTAGCCAAAGCTAAAGCTATATATATTTTCTTTAATATTTCCTCCCTAATATTAATTTAATGATATCAAAAAAAATCCCTAGAAAAAATATATAAGAATAGAAGTATATCTTATTGATGAAAAATGTTTTCCTCATCTCTCTAAGGAAAAACATTAATTACGATAGAAATAAAATAATGAGTAGAAACTGTGTAGATTAGAAGTGTAATACTTTTTCCGAGAACTAATAAAACAATATTAAAAAAATTAGAAATGATAAAAGACAAAAATTTATAATACTTTTATTGCCGATGTATCGTCTCTCTAATTACATATCGAACTAGAAACTCAAGATAATTTAGCTATCGAAGAAGTCTACGGAACACACAGTCGTGAACTTCCTTTGATCTTTCTGATAATTAATATTCTTTCTGAGAGTTAGTTTTAGCACATAAATTTTCAAAAATTAATGAATGGAAAGATATGCGAGACGCTCATCATGAAAAAGTTAATGCACGCGAATTTCGAATTAACTTTTGTTAATAAATGTATAAAATTCGATTGAATAAAATAATAAAAGTTAACATTGGTAAAGTGATATTCTCTCACGAAGCAACTACGTTATTCGCACCGTGTACACGCATGGACAATCTAGCACGAGTTTGCTGTTCCATATGCAACAACCCGGCCAGAAAAAAAGTTAGTGAAACTAATTTAACTCTCCACAGCGTGAGAAATTCAACGAAAATCAACATTTATGCTAGCCTAGACAATGTTGCATCGCCGAGGGCGATATTATAATTGCCCCGGACAGTTTCTTGTAACATGCAAGAGGCATCGTTCGTTCAAATTGCAAGGATGTAGTACGCAATTTTTCTCGAAAAATAAAGAGGAATAAATTTAGATCCACGACGGTGCGTTTAGAATTTTAGTCTAAATGTTCCAACAGTAAAATTAATCCATTACACTCGGGCTCGCGACAATTATGCCGCGCGGCATCATCATCATCTTTGCAAATCGAACGCGGGGATCTCATCTCCCGGCGTAAACGGATTCCGCTCGCAGCGTGCAATTACGCAGATTGTAATTACCTTGGGCGTTTCTTGCTACAACTAACTCAACCAGACCACGGGCCTTCTGAAGAATCGAGATCGCCTGATCGTGGGAGATGTTCGAGTCTAGGGGCTGGCCATCGATCGCCAATATCTGATCTCCCTCTAACAGTCGACCGTCGCTGAAACAGAAATGCATTTAATTCGACGTGTGCGCTCGAGAGGGGCGCTCGATTATCACTCGTGAAACATGAATCACGGGATAAATAAAACAGACTGCTGAGTGAATAGTGAATTTCGCATTCAGGCGACAAGGCAGGCACGAAATGGCGTACGCGTTACGCGCGGGGGCAATATTGTTTGCCATTGACATTTCCGGCCGTCGCACGCGCGTCCGCTTTATGCATTTCGAATCGGGTCGGCTAAATAATCAGGAGACGATCAATAATCAACTTATCTAATAACGCGATATGAATACGCTATGCAAATAGCAGGCGGCTCGCTCGGAGGCCGCTATAATTAGATTCCTCCGCGGGGGTAGGAGGGTGCGCTCGTCGACCACGCATTATCAGATCGTAGCCGATTTTTATCCGTTCCGGGGACAAGAGAGAACGGTCCATTACGAAACTTCGACGCGCTCGTAATCTCCCGGTGTTTATCACCGCGGCATAATTAATTCTCGTCCGTTTTAAGAGATTCTTTAACGACGCGCCGTTAAACCTCCCGCTTTACACGGATAATATTAAGCAAAAATACCGCAGCCACCCCTGCACCACTCGTGAATGACACCACGAACGACGAAAAACTGATACGGACGATACCTAGAATTTTATCCCCCGTTATCTCGCGTATTTATGCACAGCGCGGATTATCGTATTTGTAACATCGCCGGCTCGAGATTTCGTTGTCACGTGCAGAACAAGACGATGCGCTCTGGTAAACTGTATCGTGAAACCCCTCCCGATTCCCCTTCCGACTATGACGATTAAATTTTCAGTAAAATCGCCAGTGTCTCGCATCGCGAAAATTCCTGTGACGTACACGGTAACCGGATAATTCACTTGATGCTAACTCGATTTATCATGCAGCCCCTTGCAGTTTCCTTTTTCGAGAATATAATTCACAATTTACATCACAGAGAATAAAATTATATATATATATATATATATATATATATATATAAGATATGTAATATGTATATGTATATGGTATGTATATAGAATGAATACAGATTCGATTTCCATTGAATTATCTGTAGAATACAAAAATTTTTGTTATTCGAGAAAGATGAAACCTTACGGGTATATATATTGTATGTCCATTCAAGAAAAATAGATAGAACGAAGGATACAATAGATTGCCATAATGCCGTGATATTTCGTGCCGAAAGTGGCTCCCGTCGTTCCCGTAGTGGCCGCCAAGATAGCGACGTTATCGATATCGCTGAAGTGAAACAAGCCAGGGGTGGTCGTACGGATGTCCGCAATCTGTCTGAGAAATCCGCACGACAATACGGCGAACGAAGGACGGAGATGGTACGATAAAGGACTTTTGACAAGCGGCGAGCTCCGATATCCGACTAATTAAATTTCTCGACAACGATCTTGGACGGGCACGAAGTAACTGTTCGCTCGCGAGGTACGTCGTCCCATAAGTTCTGCGTAATTAAACCTGTTTGAGGCTTCACAAAGCGCACGAGAAATGCCACTTTATCCTCTACATCATGGATACTGGAAGCTGAAATAAGAAGCGCGATAGCCGCTTGAATAGGAGGCAACGCTCGGGCGGGAAGTAAAAAGGACTTGTCCAATTTAATTTAAGGAGCGCAAGTGGAAATTCTACCTTTCGACTGTCTTAAAGCTGAAATTCGCGGATCGTTTGAAGCGATATACTAGGTATTCCGTACGGAAATAGAGCGAAGCGTTTTATTTCCTAGTTTTCTCTCGTGCAGACAAGATAAAAATAAAATTCCTCGCAAGTAAGGAATTGTATCAGACGACAAAACAATCGACTACGTATCGAGCTGAAAATTACCTGAAACACTTTTGCGCTTGCGTCGAGTGTAACGATAAAATAAAATTACCGATAGATTAACGCTTAATCACCTCGCGCAAATAACGGGGGAAAAAAATCTGAGAAATAATTGGAAGGAGATATATCGCATAGCGGGAATCGCAGGGATCTCGGTGGAATGCAATAAGGATTTCTCATCGTGATAACGCTATCGGAAACATCGTTATGTCCGTTATTGCTTCCACATCGTTATCATTTATCGAGTGGGGCATTCTCCGCGACATTTGGCATGGCACGCAAAGCTACACACTGCGGGCCGGCATTAAATGGCACGATGGTGGTCACGTTACTCAATTTCCGTCAAACAGAATTTCGATGCCTGTGCTGTCGCTAATGATACTAGTCGGTCGGTCGCTCTGGTCACGGTAATTCACGTCTCGATTTTCCGCGCGGCTCGGCGGCCGACGAGATCCGGAGGTCCTGCGAGGACATAATGACGTAACGGATCTGACAACGCCGCGTTCTCGAAAACAAAAACTTTTGGGAGATTATCTCAAATCGCTGACTTCAAGATACTCGGGATACCAATCTTATTGTTCGTTTCGTATTCCGTCCCTTCTCGTTAAATTATGAATCACTTTGCCATCCATTGTCTTAAACGCGTATAAAAACCATGTGTATATTCTTCCCAGCATGGAACAATGTTATCGGTTCGTACAAATACAAATCGAGACTTAACGTTCGAGAAATAAATTTACTTGGGATTAAATTGCTTCCGCGTACGCGGATGTAACTGCGGAAAAATTGTAAAGAAATAAATATCTTTGATGGCAAAAGAGAAGCGAAGGACAATCATACAGATAAAATAGAATCAGAAAACTATTACGAGAATAGAATGTAGACCGACGTTGCTTGCAGGAATCGTGGCGGTAATAAATAATCGAAGGATAGAGTAATAATAATAAGGGCAACGGAAGCACCAATGTAATACAGAAAATGTGTAAAGTTCGTAAAATAGAAACCTTTATAACGCGCATAAACTCGTTAAAATGAAGAACAGAGAGAGAGAAAGAGAGTGGCGAAAACACGAGTCACGGCAGTTGATTATATTATAGTTGATGATTTGATTAATATAATCATGCTATGCTACACTTTGGAGACTCGAAGGAAGGGTGGATGAAAAGTCATCGCCACGCCGCGATGGCGATATAAAATAAAAATTTCCGCGCGTGGCGCGCGAGATATGAGATAAAAACTGAAATGTATATAGAAGAATCGAATTAATGCAAGAGACAGCAGCGGCAGAATATGCGGCGGACTGGCGTCCAGAAACAAGCATAGGAACGACGGTGCTCTTCCCAGCGGTATTCCAGTGTCCTGTAAATTATGAATGAGACGGGTCCTGCGCGAGCCCGTGTGTGTACCGAGCTTTCAGATTGCTCTCGCAGCGCTTCAAAGTATACGAGGGTGGATAGTGTGTAAGGGGTAGTCGCGAGCAAGAGGGACCATGGTGCCCGTCGACGCAGAGGCAAACACTGGCAGCGGCGACGGCAACCCCCGGCGGCGAGGGGAGGCGAGGGTCTTTCAAAGCCGTCTCTTAACATACACGGGAGGAGCGAGCAACCGGATATAGCGTCGTAAAATAAAAACTCATTCCTGCCGCGCTTCCGTCCGTTTATCGCGCATTCTAGTGCCACCCCTGAATCGGCTGAATCGAAGTAACATCGAGACGAGCGATGTGAAGAGCTAAGAGCCCGTGGCTCTTAGCTCTTCGGTTTAACGCTCAACAAAAACGTCTCTCCCGTCTCTTCTCTTCTCTTTCGTCGAATCACATAAATGTTGTACTTGACACAAGGACGCCTTTTTGGATCGTTCGCCTGGAGTGCTGGCACTCCATACTCTGATCGGGTTCCGGGAAAATTTAAGATCCAACACAGGACGTCTAACTATCCATTGTTCCTATGCCGCGATATAGTTACGCGGCTGTCTGGCACACTAAACTTTCGCCGAATTTCCAAACTGTTAGAGAACAGCTCGGCTCACACTTTGTATGAAACCCGGCCATTATGCAAAATCGCCCACGTAAATTCTGCGGGAACTGCAAGTGCTACAAGATAATTACGTAACTAGCTCAGAGACGTAATTTATACTCTACGTAAATAATACTGACAAACAACAGCTGTACGCCAGAAAGGCGACCCTCCCCTTCCCCGCTACTTTTTATCTTCACCGGTGATCGCGCGTGCAGAACGCGCAAATGTGTTTTATTCAAAGAAAAAAAGGAATCATTCTCTTTTTTTTTTCTCGTTAGTAAAAGGAACCTTTTGTATCTCGTTTCATTATTCTACCGGCCCGCAGGAAGACAAGAAGTTCTTGTTTTGGCTCTGCACTGATTGCAGTTAGTAGATTCAAGTGCATCGTGTTAGTTATTTATTCTTCAATCTGCAGACCGTCCGATCTGCTTGCGAGCGCTTGTAAAGCGCGTGATCGATACTATCTCTATCCATTGAAAACAGAGCTTATAGCTGTGTACGTATAGGACGCAAAGATAATCTGAAATATATTCAAACCAGCGCCAACAGCCAGCAATGATTAGAGTGGCCTCGATTTAAATGTTGCCTCGTCTCTCTTCGAAGAAACAGATTTATCAATCTGATTGGACAATTGTTTCGAAAACTTTCATTATAACATCGTTTATAAAGTATTTGAGTCCCCCCCCCC